TGGTAACCTGAGGCCCGAAGTGTGACCGCAGGTCCCCGGTTAGAGTGGGGGGTCCCACCGATGCGATTCCAGCCCGGGTCCCCGCCCTGACCTTGGGTCTGCTCACCCAGCCAACAGTCATTTCCCAGAACTCAGAGTGGACAAGTGTAGTGGACATACTTGATGGCTGATATCGTGCCCTTGGCCACCAGCATGGAGAAGCCCAGGGGAAGTGTCTGTAACTGCCCCCAGCTGAGGGTGCCCTCCTGGCTGAGTGGTGACGTGTTGAAAGACCAGAGGATGCCAGGGAGGGCACTGGGACACCCACAAGTCTGACCACTGCAGAAGGCAGGGGATGGGTCCAGGAGGACCGTGGACAGCTAGAAAGCAAGTGAGGCTGTGTTCTCCCCCGTCCTGATCAGGAAGGAGACCAAAGACCATGTACAAACACTTGCAGAGAAAATGTGGTCCCTTCCCAGGTGACAGGAACGCTTCTGCCCAGGGTCACCTGGATGAGTCCCCCATCCCCAGAACAGTACAGCTGTCCCCCATATTAACAACCTGTGTGGATCAGACCAGATGACGGAGAAGTGGCGAGTACCCCGGGGCCTTCGTAGGACACGCGCACCACAGGGAAGAATCCAGGGGTCCTGGGCACACAGCAGCCCCCCCCCCGCCCCCCCCCACAGAGGACGGGGCTGTGCTGGCAATTCACCACGATGGAGCGTGGCAGCTGGGGGCTTCTGAGTGCTGGAGCAGGCACTCGTGGGAATCCTGCTCCAGGACGTCCTGGTGCCACAGAGGGCCAGTGGCGGTGCAGGGCCGGCAGGGACGGCCCGAGGTCCCTGCTGCTACATTTCAGCTGACTCCAGGGGCCTGGGAACAAAGTAGGCTTTGCAGCAAGTGTGGGTGGGAGAAGCAGCACGGGGGTCCCCGGGTCCAGGACGGGAGAACAGGTGTGGCTCTGGTCTGGCCGTGGGACCATGGCCAGCCGCCTGGCACTGGCTTCCTCAGACATGCCCTGTCGTGAGGTTGGGATGAGTCACGAGCAAGGCTGGAGGTCAGCAGCACCCTGCTCGCGCAGGTCCAGACCTGTGTGAGTGTCACCTCTGCGACCCCCTCACACCTGTGGCCTCGCAGGGGTTCCTATGACCAGCTGAGGACGGGGACGAGCTCTGTCACAGTTCAGGGCTGACTGGCACAGTGTGTAGGCACAGGTGGACAAGGACAGTGGCGAGGGTAGCCCTCTCAGGTATTACGGGTTTGGGCAGTGGGCCCAGCTGGCTGGTCGGGGGCGGGGGGGCGGGTGGGAGGAGGGAAATGGCCGTTTCAGGGACAAGGAGTCTGGGGAGAGGCACGTGGGCACATCGTCACCCCACATCGACACCCACCAGAACGTACCCACCGTGTGACAGGTAGACAGAAGCGCTCGACGGCGTGACAGCGGCCGGCTGGCCATCGGCCCCAGGTGGCACAGCCACGCACGGACAGAATGGCCAAGACGGCAGAGATAACGGCTGCTCACTCATTGGTCCCACGGGTGAGTCCAGGACAGCCCAGCCCCGGGCAGCGACTCTCACGGGGATGGCCCGTGGCTCACGGCACGTGCTGCCCAAGGGACAGAGGCTGGGGCCTGAGGTCAGCATCCCCCCACTGCCACTGGCAGGGGCGCAGGGTCGTTCTCTGTGGGGGTGTCCTGTGCGCTGGGGGGAGGGGGATTGAACGGAACCAGAGGTGCCCCTCACCCAGCTGTGACAAGTGTCCTGGCCACCCCTGGAGAGCCACTGGCTTCTAACGTGTGCACCTGCGGCGCGGGACCTGGTGCAATCACACCACAGACGAGGGACCCGGGGTCCCGCAAGGTCAGGGTGGGGTGGGCCGTGGCCATGGGGCTCCCCGGCACCACACTTCCTGAAGCTTCTGGCCTGGCAGGGTGGGTATGGAAGGCCGCCAGGACCTGTGCGTGGTGCTGTGTCCCCAGAGGACCCTGCGGTCCAAGAGCCGAGAGCCCCGGAAACACGAGCCTCCTGGCCCCGCGGAGTCCCTGCTGTCTGGTCCTCCAGGCCCCGTGCACCAGGGTCAGTGGGGAGCAGAAGCCCAGCCAGTGGGAGAGGACCCAGGGAGAGGCAGGGTGCCCGACTTGGGGGGGGCAGCATCTGCACCTGGGGTCCTGAGGGGCGAGGCGGTGTCTCCGTGGTTACGGGGGCGTGGGTGGGTGCTGACACGCTGGTCCCTGAGCCCCTCCCTGGGCAGCATCCAGGCTGGGAAGAGGGAGCAGAAGGCAGTTTCGCACTGCGGCCAGGTCACTCCACGGTCGTGAGGTCTGGGGCTCCCTGTGGGGCCGCTGAGGCTGTGTCCTGCCTGTTTCCTCCGTGACCCCTTCCTGCAGAGTTTTGATCCTGGGAGCACGACAATCCTGTCAGTGCCGGGGGCTGGGGGTCCCTGCCACAGCGCGTCCTGCCCTGGGGGCCCCGCCCTCCAGGGCAGTCACCGCGGCGCCCACCCACCCCTCCGCTGGGTCCAGGCAACGCAGCCGCCAGGGCCGGTCCTGCAGCGCCACCTGCCGGCCGCGGCCCTTGCATCTGGGGGCGGGACCCGCGGGAGCGTCCTGGCTGGGCTCCACCAGGCCTGAACCAGGGCGCAGGGCAGGGGTCCCGCCAGAGGCGGGGGATTCCAGAGGATCACCTCCAAGCCCAGCAGAGCCCCAGGCCCGGTAGGGGCTCTGACATCTAAGTGCTCAGCCCCTGGTCCCCACGCCCCGGCGCCCACCACCATGGTCCCCGGGACACTGCCTGCACCCGGAGCCCCACGCCAGGCCTGGCAAAGTGATGCTGGGGCAGGTGCACCCTTCCTGCCCACATCGTGTCCCAGGACAGCCCGACACACCACGGGCTAGCTGGGACCCTCCGCCTTCTCTGTATGTCCCCTGACTGGGAAGGTGCTCTTTATAGGTGAGGACGCGGAGCCTGGGGCGCTCCAGCATTGGCTCCAGACCTGCGCGCCTTGGGGAAGGGGTCAGGGCATGCTCTGGGAGGTGACAGGTGAGTGGGACCCCGCTGGAGGAACGGAGCAAGAGGAGACAGCTCCTGATGCCCCCAGCAGGACAGCAGGACAGAGGCCCTGAGGTGGGACCACACTTGGTCCGTTCCAAGAGCCAGGTCATCCTGAGCCGTCCACTGCCCTGCTGGGGGGCCCTGAGTGGGGTTTCAGGGGGCACCCTTGGCCCGTGGCCACAGCTGCTGTCAGCACAGAGATGCCCGCCCTGGCCTCGTCTCTCCCTGGGCCCGTTTGGTGCCATGGTGGTCTGGGGTGCGTACTTGGCACAGAAGGGCAGGGTACAGACCAAGAGGACCCCAAAAACCTCGGCAGGCCAGTGTGAGGACCACAGGAGAGCCGGCTGTGGGACTGTCTCCTCATGTCCAAACAGCAGGGCCTGACCCCTCCCCACTGCCAGGTGGTAGGGTCCCCAGGACCCTACCAATGTCACCTGTGGTGGGAGGGGTGTGCTGGTGCCCACAGAGCCCTGTTAGGGGTGGGGTGCCACCCAGGCGACCCCACCATGAGGACTCAGGACCTTCTTGGTTCTAACTGGAAAGAGGGCATCAGTTCCATGCCCCAGCCACGTTCGCCTGTGGCTTTAGCTACTCAGGCCTGGGTCCCATGTGCCAGGCCAAGAGGGCAGGGACCACCGGCTCTGGCCCGGCCTCTACTGAGCTTGAGCCCTTCCCCACCATCTGCAGCAGCCTGGGTTCCCGGGTGTGGTTTCTCCTTGGGGCCATGGGTAATGCACACCCCACCAGGGCCTCCCTTCTGGGCCTCACTCTCCTTGCCCTGCCCCCCAGCACCTCCACCCGAGGGGCTCCATCCCACCGACCTGTTATGCCTCTGCTCACCCCTGCTCTCCAGCTTGCCTTCCCTCCGAGAACCCCCCAGCCCATGGGGTTCCCTGGAAGCCCCCCCAGCTACAGTGGCAGCCTCTCCCACCACAAGGCTCCCAGTGTCCCATGGCCTAGACCCACACCCCACGTCCAGAAGCAGACCATGTGCGTGGACTCCCTGACAGGTCTGGCCCGGACAAGAGCAGCGTCCCCACTGGGCTGTGGCCGCCCTTGTCCATCCCACGTGACTCGGTTTCCTCTAGGAGTTCTGGGGCGCCTGACCCTGTTCTCCACCACAGAGACGGAGGCGGAGTGAGGGAGGCCCGCTGAGGCACATGGAGGTCCAGGGAGAACTGGACACAGGACGGGGCTGGGGCGGGCTCCACCTGCCAGCACGTGGGCACCCCTGCCCAGCGAGGACCACATGGAGTCCTGCCTGCAGGGGTCCCCTTGCACAGATGCAGCAAGGGGGCGCGTGGACACGGCGGCCCTCGGTGCCAGGACAGCGGGGGACAGGCGGCCGCCCCCAGAGTGACAGCCGCGTGGACGGGTGCGGAGGTGCGGGAGCTCACGAATGCAGGCGCTCAATGGGGGTTGACAGAGCCCTGGGGGTTTGGACACTCCGACGGCTGAGGACACTCTGGGGGAGGGGGCCGGGGGGGCCTCCCTATGACACCCGAGCCTCCATCTGACGCAGAGAAACTGGCCCCGGGGCTCTCCTCTCCGGCGGCATCCGCGAAGGCGGGACGGCCGTGTCCAGCCCTGGGGGTCCTTCCACAACAGCTGCTCTCCCCATCAAGACTCCCGTGCCCGCGGGGGGGGCCGCCCCAGAGAGGCAGGTGGCGCCCCCCCCACCCCGTGAGGGCCACACCCACCCTGGAGCCTTCCTGCTTTTTCAGTGAGACAGACTCGCGCGTGCCCTGGGCCTGACGACCTCCAGTGGTCAATTTTATTAGAAACAACGGTATCAAAATATACAACTCTGGGTTAGGGCCGCCAGGGACTGCAGCTTTCCGAAGGGCCGAGCGTGTGCGAGCCGCTTCCCGGGCGCAGCTTCCCTCCGCGTCCCCTGGAGAAACGGGGACCTGTGAGGACCGCACGTCCGGGTCACCAGTCTCGATAACTTAAAGGGCGGGTCCGGCTTTTGGCTCTGGACGCGCATCACAAGTCTTCCCGCGAGGGCTGCCGCGTGGGGTCTCCTTCCGCGACTTCTGCCGGGAAATGAACACAGCTGTTGGGGGACCCCCGCACGAGAGCTTTCCACGGGGCCGGGGCAGGGGCTTCGCGGCAGGAGGCCTCTCGGGTGTGGGAGACGAAGACAGGGACCGGGGAGGCACCCCCCGGGCCATGCTGGGGCAGAGGCGGTGTGGGGCTCTGCTCCCCGCTGACATCTGGTAGGTCCGGAGCTGGCTCCGAGGCACCTGGCTGTGCGCTCGCCCTCGCTGCCCGGCTCGGGGTCAGGGAGCTTCTGGGGTCTGTGGTCTTACTTGTTCAGGAAAACTCTGTCAGCGTCGTTTTGACACTGGCCCTTCTGCTCCACGTTCTTCCACGACTTCTATGGGACGGTCGTGGGCAGAGCCATGTCCCCCAGAACCTGGGGCCATCCTCACCCCTGGAAGCTGTGAACTGGGGGCACTTTACGGATGGTCAAGGTGAGAGGAGGTCACTGGGGTGCAACCTTGTAGGAAGAGGGAGATTCGGACACGGACACACAAGCCACGAGAAGGCCACGTAGACAGAGGCCTCCAGCAGAGACTGGAGGGACGCAGCCTAACGGCCGCTGGAAGTGCAGAGACGGGACGGACCTGCCCTCCGGGCTCGGAGCGGCCGCTGCCCTCGGGCTCTCAGGAAGCCCACGCAGAGCCCGCCTGCTGACTCCAGGGTCACGGACCCTCCTGCGCGGCCCCACCTCCCACGGGGCGGTCACGGCCAGGGCTCCCCACAGGCACGCTTCCCCTCCCGTCTGCCCGGAACCCCAGCCATCGCCGCCCTCGGGCCGCACTGCTGGGAGTTTCCGCACGTGCACCGCCAGCGCCTGCCACTCACCGCCGCCCGGGGCCTGCGTCTGCACACACGCGTCTTCCGTGTCTTCGAAGCCCTCGGGACACACGCACACGAAGCTCCCGGGCGTGTTGTAGCAGTTCTCATGCTGGCGCGCGCACGCCTTCTCCGGCCCCGCGCACTCGTCTACGTCTGCAAGAGACGCCCGCACACAGGCCACCGTCACCGGGCGCCCGCGCTCGGGACTTGCTGCTGCCCCACAAGCACGACAGTCGGGAAGGGACTCGGAGAGCAGAGCACGAGGCTCAGGGTCAGCGCTGCGGACGGAGAGGAGCGAAGGGGCAGTGCAGGAGGCCGTGAAGGGGGAAGCCTGGTGCAAGCTCATGCCGCGGGGGCAGCCGTGGATTCACCGCCTTTTTCCAGGCGGGTTCCAGCTGGCCCCGACCGTGGAGGCCTGACGTGCAGCCACGGGGGCTGTGGGGGTGGGAGGTGGGGGGAGGCCCGGGCCCCCGCTGGCAGGTGCACCTGCACCAGGCACACCTGGGGGCCGGCGGGACAGACGGTCGGTCCCCCACCCGCTGCCTCTGCATCACATGCTGGGGAAATGGAGTCGCAGGAAGAGCCGGAGCCGGTGTCCCACCCCCACCGGCCCCTCACGGCCCGTCCACACCGTGGCCCCCTGCCACGGTCCATCTTGGTGTGGCACAGATGCAAGGGCGCTGACCTGCACACTGGCCGCTTTCTTTGGTGTAGCCGGGGACGCACTCTTTACAGTGTCCTGGACCCTTCCCCGTGCAGCCCACACAGGTGGAATCACATTCTAGAAAAAAGCAGAAAGGCGTCGACAGCCTCCTGTGAGCACACCGGGACCGGAAGCCGCGCCGTGCAGCATCAGGGTCCCTCCTCGACGTGTGGGGGCCCCAAGGGCGTGTCCTCGACACCGCAGCCCCGTCTCCCAGCAAAGCAACGATGTGCCCCCCAGAGCTGTGACCGCACACTGCTGACCATCTTCTCAGAGCAAAACAAAGTCACCTCCAGCTCGGGGACACTGCCCAACTGGCCTGCTGGCAGCGCAGGAGGAACAGTACGGGGGGAGACGTGGGATGCTCCCCAGTGAGCCCCACGGTCAGAGCTGCTGTGTGGGGGCCAGCAGATACGGTGGGGGGGAGTGGGACCAGCAGACGTGGGGGCACAGGGGTGCAGAGTGGGGGGTAGCAGGCGGGGGGGCGGAGTGGGACCAGCAGACGCGGGGGTGGGGAGCAGACAGCCTTAGGCGCTGCTGGAGAGCACGTCCACGCGACCTCCCGGGGGTACTGCGACCCTACAATCCACTGTCCCGAGCAGTTTGGAAACGAATCCAAAGAAAACGAGCACGAATGTGAAAACCTCATCGACGGAGGAACGCGAAGTTCACAGCTGTGGGAAAATTGCTGATTTCGATACGCAGCAACACAGTCCGCTGAAGACAACCACGGAACAGGATGGGCAGGCCCCACACGGACGGTCGTGGGCATTCCCGCCGCGACGATGGGGCACAGCGGAAGCAGCCACGGCCCGTGGAACGGGACAGAGTGTCGTGGAACTATTAACAGAGCTTTAGCTCCACGGAACTGGTGTTTTAAAAGTTATCTTCAACTTCTCTGAATTTTTGGTTTTTCGGCAGCCGGGACCGACGACGTGGGTGCCGCCTTCCCCTTTCCACAGCAGGCAGAACCCAGACAGTCACCCGCCCGCAGGGGCCCGAGGCCAGGCACCTTCGCACACGAACGAGCCGTTGACGTTCTCGCAGTACTGCTGGTTGCCGCAGGGAGGCGTGTCTGCCGCACACTCGTCCACGTCTGGAACACAGGGGCAGAGCCGTGAGGGTCCCAGGGCCCCCGCGGAAGTCACATGGCTGGTGACCGGACACAACCCACGGCCACGGCCAGCGGGACAGGGAGGGGGCCGCTGTGTGGAGGATGTGTGTCCGTGTTTCTCCCGGAGGCCCCCCTCCCCAGGGGCAGGGGTGACGAAGGACACTTTGTGCCTCCGGGGGCGGGGCCTCCACGAGGGACCAGCAGCTAACATGAGCACCCTCTGCTCCACGTGGACACGCAGAAACTCCAGGTCGGAGTCGGACCACCCGCCTCCCCACTCCAGATGGGACACTAGGGACAGGTCTGCCATCCCTGACCGGCCTAAGGGCAGCCCACCCACCGGCACCTGGGCCTCAGGAAGGGCCTCTTGGCCGCTGCCAGGGCCTCCCCAGGGCTGCTGCAGTGCTGGGTGGAAACCAGAGCTCACAGGCAGGCTGGGGCTCAGAGGCAAGGGTGCGGCAGGAACACATGCGCACACCAGGCTGGGCACGTGGGGATGGCAGGGACGGGGGCAGCAGAGGCCCAGGGCCTGAACTGTGCACGCTGTGTGTGTGCGTATCAGGAAGGCGTGTCTCCCTGCCATGGCGGAGTGGCTAGACCACGCAGACACCGTGTCTGTTGAGTGCCCCTGTATGGCTCTCCAGGCCAAAAGTAGGTCTGTGCCTCAGTTTCCCTGCCTGTACCTGGGGAAGGGAGAGGGAGGGAGGAAAGAAGGAGAGGAGGGAGAGGAGAGAAAGGGGGAAAGGGAAAGCGGGGAGGAGAAGAGAGGAGGAAGGAGAGCAGGACGCCAGGAAGGGGAAGAGGGACAAGGGAGGAGGGAGGGAGAAGAGGGAGGCAGAGAGGAGAGGAGGGGGGCCGGGCCACCCTGGGGGTCCTGCCGGGCCTCACCCATGCAGGCGCCGTCCTCCTGCGCCCAGCCCACGGCGCACTGGCCGCAGTCCCTGTTGCTCGGGCCGGTGCACGTCTTACACGACTCGTCACAAGCTGGGAAGCAGAGGTGGGACGTCGGTCATGTGTGGGAATGCCATTTTCAGTAAAAAACCGAACACAAAGGTCATTTCAGCAATAAGAATTTACCTTCACTAGGATGAAAACAAAAACCAAATACAAATACGAAAATACCCTAGTAGAGCGAGACGCGTTGGGACGACCACAAAATCTACACTCGTGACCCACAGCATTCCCGGGCTTGACGAGCGAAACACTCCACGGGCTTTCAGGGCCCCTCACGGTCACGTTCTGGTGGACCCCAGGGAAATGGCTTATGACCCGAGGAAGGCAGCGGCCCAAACCCCGGAGCCCACGCCTGCCAGGCGGCCCCCAGCCCCGGGGCCCCCGCACAGCACCCGCGTCCCGGGCCAGCTGAGGGCCTGGGCGCCGGGACCAGAGAGGACACGGCCTTCCTGGCGCTCCACTCGCCGCACAGACCACCCAAAGGGGCTGCGGACTGACGTCGGGAAGCACGGCCGGCGTCCGCCTGGCGCTCAGTGCGGTCGGTCACAACAGACACGTCCGAGCCCGCAGGCCTGCGGGGGGCCCGACCGAGGGGGAGCCTGGAGGCCAGGAGGTCCCACCCGGTGGCCTCAGGGGTGCTGGCTCTCGTTTATGCTGCCGTCTGCCCTCTTGCGCGGGGCCTGGGCCTTGGCAGCCGCCCCGGGCAAGCGGGTCACCCTGTGCAGGCGGCCGCGGGCAAGAGCAGGCCTCTGCGGGGTACCGTGGCGCCGGGCCACCCAGAAGCAAGGCTAGCATGGGTGGGACGTGACCGCTGGCCCCGCACCATCCACCTGCCCAGTCCTTCTCCAGAGAACGTGGGGCCGGGGCTGGCTCTCCCCTCCTGGGCATGTTCAGAGACAGTGAGCGAGACCATCGGGGCTGCTCACGGCCCTGCAGCCCTCCGCGGGGTCCCCAGGCCTCCTAGCTCCGGGGGTGCAGGTGAGAGCCAGCAGGCCCCCATCCGTGCCCATAGCTCCAGGAGACAGCCGCTGCAGTGTGCCCGAGGCCCGCGGGCTGAAGGCCGGTGCAGCCCCCGTACCTGTGCAGATGCTGTGCGTCTCGTTCCTCAGGGAGCTGAAGTAGCCGTCCATGCAGTCGGAGCACGTGGCGCCCTGGTAGCCGAGGTGGCACTGGCACGACCCGTCCCCCTGCCTGCTGCCGTCCCCACTGCAGTGCCCGTTGCCGCTGCAGGGCCTCTGGGAGCCGCCCTGGCACGCTGGGGGTGACACGAACCCACCAGTCTGAGTGTGCCCCGGGAGTGTGGCACCTTGCTTGCCTGACCTCACGACCACTCCTGTTCCGTCCCCTGTAAACTCTGTCCTCACTCCCTCTGGCCAGCCCCCCCGACCACACGAGCCAGAGCAGCCAGGTCTGGGGGAGCAGACACGCCGGGGTCTGCAGGTGCTTGGGAGCCTCCCCTGGAACACGGGGACAACGGGGACAATGGGGACATGGACGCACAGAGGGTGTCGGTGAGGACGGCCTGCCGCAGTACCCGCCCGCCGACAGCAGGAGGTGGCCGCGACCCAGGACAGGGTCGGACTCGAGACACGTCTGCTCTGTCCCGCTGGGCACCCAGAGTGACGAGTGATGCTGGACAGCGGCCCGTGACTTCGGTTCAGAGCGTGTCTCTTCGTGGAAGAGCCTGGCTCTCCAGGGAGAGCTGACGTGACGCATCCCACCCAACAGACGCCCGAGCCGCGCCCCCGGGTCTTGGCTGCTCCGTGGGCAGAGCCAGGCGGGGGACACGAAACCAGAGCTGCCTCGGTGCCCTTGGAGGGCCCTGCACAGGCAGGTGGACAGCGACCCACAGCGGCCCCAACGAAGGCCCGCAGGCCCCGGAGTGAGGCGCCCGCGCGGCATCAGGCTGTCAGGGCTGTCTGGCCCCGGGGAGGAGGTCCCCACGGCGTGGAGGGGGCAGTGACCGGGCGCCCTAGGGCTCAGTGGGAGCTGACGGCCCCAGGTCCCAGCCACGGCTCTGCCCCCCCGGGAATCACGACACGGACACTGGGAACAACGCAGGACACTCGCGATTCCCGACAACAACCTACGGAGGCAGTCTGGCCCGTACGTTCCTGGCGAACAGCAAACCTTCAGCGTTTTCACACAAAACCACTCGAATAAGTCAGGAAAGTCCTTCTTCCTGAGGAATTAAAAACGTGCATCAAAGCTCACGTGACTGGTTTCTCCAAAACAAAACACGATTCGCGACATTCGCTCCAGAGCGTCGCGGCGTTAGGGACACAGCGGTCTGGGGTAACCAGACGTCCCAATAACCACCTCGCTGCCCACACCACGTTACGGTAAGAAGAGACGGCGACCCCCGGGCAAGAAGGAGGACAAGCCTGTGCCGACACTTCTAAGTCCGAAGTTATTTCAAACTTATAAACTGAGAAATAAAACGTCACGAAAGCTTCAGTGAACACGCAGGGGAAGCCAGTGGGGCTGGAGCTGTGGCATGGGAGGAGGCGGGGGGGGGGCGGGGGGGGGGGGCGGGGGGGGGCGGGGGTGTGTGTCTGGGGGTGTGGGGTGCAGGGCTGGGTGGGGGATGGTGGGGCACAGGGTGTGGGGACGGGAGGGGACAACAGGGTGGGAGGTGCAGGGAGACAGGGCTGTGGGGGAGAGAGTGAGGGCGCAGGGCCGGCACTTGGGAGGAGAGAGGGTGGGGGATGCAGGGCTGGGGTGGGGGGACGGGGTGGGGCGCGGGGCACTCACAGCCGCAGCCACCAGGCCTCCAGGTGCCCCTCGTGCTCCTCCAGCAGACTGTGGCACTCGAAGTCGCTGCTGCCGCACAGGCCCTCGGTGATCTCCAGCAGGCGGACTTCACTGCAGCGGCCCGCGGCACCACCGGGTGACAAGGGAAGCCCAGGCAGTCAGCGGCTGACCCACGGGGACGCCCGGAGGCCCCGCTTGGTGCCAGCAGGAATGACGGTGGCACTTTGGTGGGGGACACGTCCACTGGGGACAAGTGCAGTGGGCACCACGGGGAGAACTAAACTCAGAGGGCAGCGGTCAGGGTGCAGGGGAGACCCTGACGCAGGGCGCAAGGGGGCCAGGACGGACTGGACTGGAAGGGAAGCCGGTGACACTTTACGTGGTGGGATTCCACTCCCGCTCCCGTGTGCACCATGGAGAGGCCACCCTGTCTGCCCTGTGGAAAGTGGACACGGGGACAAGTGTGGGGGCAAAAGGCCAGGTAGGGGCCAGCGCACAGGTGACTGCACAGGGACCTTCCGTGTGTCCATCGTCGATGTGGGTGACGGCATTCATGCGGACACGTCCAGTGCCACAGCCGGGCTGCCAGAGCAGGGCACCCACCTGAATTCATACTTGGACAGCGACTTCTCCTCCCAAGCCGTGTTCCCACCTCCGAAGTTCTTCTTCGCAGTGTCCACCATTCCCTGAGGAGAGCGCGCGGGCACAGAGCTCAGTGCTGCTGCCCTGACCCACATCTGTCGAGGGAGCAACCCTAGCCCCCCATGGGGGTGACTCGAGTCCACTGTGGGGTGACCCCAGTCATTGCCAAGTAACCCCAGGTCCATCACCAGGGTGACATGGAGTCCATTCCTGGAGTGACCCCGTCCATCGCGGGGCGACCCCGGGTTCCTGACCCCGGTCCCCGGCAGGCTTAGCCTGGGTCGGCGAGCCCGGCCCGTCGCGGGGCGCCCCCAGCCCCGCCGCCCCCAGGCCGACCCCGCGCCCGCGGCCCCGGGGCGAGCGGCCCACCCGGTTGAACTTGTCCACCAGCTCCCGGCAGCGCTTGCAGGGCGTCGCCTTCTTGGCGGCCTCGGCAGGCGGCGGCGGCAGCAGCAGCAGCAGCAGCCCCAGCGCGGTCGGGGCGGGCGAGCGCATGGCGGGCCGAGGCGGGCAGCGTCGCGCAGGACGCGGCCGCGCGGGCAGACCCCACGTCCAGCGGGAACCGGCCGAGCACTCGGCCTCCGCGGCCGCCCCCCCGCTCCGCGGTGCCGGCCGTTCCCGGGGCTACTTGACGGAGCCGGGCGGCGTCCCGCCCACCGACAGCCCTAGCGCCGCTATTGGCCGCTGGGACCCAGGCCGTCCCCATGTGGCCCAATCCGGGCTCGCCACGAGCAGCGGCCAATAGGAAGGCCCCGGGTCAGCGTCCGCCGGGAGGGGGCGCGGACGGGGGCGTGGAGGTTCGAGCCCGCCGCTCGCGCGCTCCGCCCACGGCGGCCATCTTTACTCCGGGCAGGGCGAGCGTCCGTCGCGGCGGGGACCAGGCTTGGGGGCCATGTTAGGTTTGGGCGAGGGCCTCGCGTCCGTCCCCGGCTTCCGCCCGCCGGCTTCCGGCCTCGAGCCGTCCTGGGGGTGCGCTTCGAGGGACGACGCGGCGGGCAGGCCAGGTCAGTGCGCGCTCCCGCGGCCGGGGCTGTCGGGGCTGGTGGCGGGCGACGGCGCGACCCGGACTGTCCGGGAGGGCGGCGGGGAGGCGCGGGAGCCAGGCTCGGAGAGGGGAGAGCCGCGGCCTGCGTGGGCCGTGGACGTCGCTGGTCTGGAGCTGCCGCTCGTGTGCCCCGCCCGGGGCTGTCCCCCTGCGGTACGGCCCTTCGCCCGCGAGCCGGCGGGACAGGAGGGCGCCCGCCGGTCCCTCCTCCGCCGATAGCCGGGCTGAGCGCGCCTGCGGCGTCCGGGGCCCCTCTCCGGCCCCGCGCGGCGCGCACCTGCCGTCCCGGGCGCTCCTCTCGGTCTCGGCGCGGCTGGGGCTTCTGCCCTCCGTCCCTGGCGGCAAAGGGACACCGCGCTGGCCATGGCCGTGTGCGTCCCTGCAGCCGGCGGCGCGGGGTCGGTGGGGGAGGGGGCGCCGGTTCTCAGCGGACCTGTGGCAGCGCGTGTCCGTTGGGCAGCGGCGGAGCTGAGCGTGCAGGGCCCGCGTCCTGGGGCCGCCGGAGCATCGGGGTGTTTGTGGTGACCCCGGGGCGGCTGTGACGACCCGGGGAAGAGCCGGCGGATTCTGCTGGGGTTCGTGGAGCGCGTCCCGTGCGGCGGCCCCGCCGTGGGACCCGTGAGCCGGCTCCGCGGGCAGCGGCAGCCACGCTCTCACGTGGGCCGCGGTGCTGACCAGCGGCTCCTCCCCGGAGCGGGGAGACCGGAGAAATGCCACCCTCAAGCTGCTTACGCTCCAGGAGGAGGGGGACACCCGGGCAACACCTGTGTCCGTCGGGTGTCGCGGCTGTTTCGGCGATTCTTGTTAGTGAAGCCTCTTTCCCCTCTGCGCCCACCTCACCGCCACCTGGAGCCGGACTCCTGCTCCTCGTGCGCAGTTTCCTTCCCTCGTGGATCCCCCAGTTGCGTCTCTGGGGGCCACAGACTCCGTACATCTCCCTCCTGTCAGAAGGCAGCGAGCACCCTGACTCTCTCCTTTGGCTCCTGGCCCTTCTGGTGTTGATCAAATAAAATCAAGCCTGTTTTAAGAGAAGCCAGAAACTTTATTATGAAGGGGCGCCTGGGTGGCTCAGTGGGTGAAGCCTCTGCCTTCCGCTCTGGTCGTGATCTCAGGGTCCTGGGATGGAGCCCCACATCGGGCTCTCTGCTTGGCGGGGAGCCTGCTTCCCCCTCTCTGCCTGGCTCTTTGCCTGCTTGTCATCTCTCTCTCTGTCAAATAAATAAATAAAATCTTAAAAAAGAAAGAGAGAGGGGAGGGGGGGCCAGAAACTTGAAGAAGAGCTTGCCACCTTCCCTCCTGACAAGTTGAAAACTATCTCACCCCCCCCCCCCCCACCGGCGTCACCACTGCACACGCATCTGTCTGAACCCCGCAAGGATACGTTCCTGTTTTTGCCACCTACGTATTCACGTTCAGGACCAGTCTGGGGCCACGCCCAGGTGCCACGTGGCTCCCAGGGTGAGGGCAGGTGCAGCCTGGCAGGCGGCCAAAGTTCCCGTCTAGTCTGGCTCCACTGGCTGCCCCGAACTCTGGGTCCCGCCTCCTGCCCTCCTGTGGCTGCCCCTGCACAGTCCTCCAGACCCATCCCTCCCACCCCACAGCCTCCTGTCCCTGGTCTCTCTGCCCCCGCCACAGGGTCCTACTCTCCTGCCAGATTTGAGCCTCTCAAGGGCAGGGGCCGGGCCCTCCAGAGGCTGGGCCAGCCCCGGGCCCGGCTGCGCCGAGGACCCCTCAGTTCTGCAAAAAAATCCTTGGGTCCTGGGAAGATCCTCCCACAGCTCAGCAGGAGGTGGTTAAGCCGGGAAAGGCACTCAAGCGTGATTTTTCTTTGAACTTTCTCTTTCGATGTGTTTCGATTCACCGAGGTTACAACAGTGGTTTAAAGACTTCGCACACTCCCTCCACTCAGCTCCCCCGGGTGTTACCTCGGGGGACTTTGGAAACCCTGGAACCTGTGTTTCCATCTTCTCCCAGGGCTCCCGGAGCGGCGCGGCTGAGGACGGCTGGAGGCCGGGGAGGAGGGAGAACGCCATGGCTGGGAGGAGGGCGTGGGGTGCGGGCAGGCAGCGCCGGCTGCTGGGGCTGCTGCTGGCTGTGGCCGCCACCCACCTCCTCGCCTGCCCCTACGCCAAAGTGGAGGAGAGCTTCAACCTGCAGGCCACGCACGACCTGCTTTACCACCGGCTGGATGTGGACAAGGTGAGCCCTGCGTCCGAGGCGCGCAGCCTCCCAGCTCGGGCGCCCGCTGACCTCCCCTTCCCCCTGCAGTACGACCATCTCGAGTTCCCCGGAGTGGTCCCCAGGACGTTCCTCGGGCCGCTGGCCGTGGCGGTGCTCTCCAGCCCTGCGGTCTACGTGCTGTCCCTGCTGGAAGCGTCTAAGTTTTACTCTCAGCTAGTGGGTAAGGGGTCTCTGGATGACAGAAGGGAGGGCCTTGGTGTGGTCGGGGGATTTCCAGGAGCCCGGCAGAGGCTCCCTCCCTCAGGAGTGTCCTTCTCTCAGAAGCTTGGCCATCCTCAGCCACTCGCCATGGTGGTCCGGAGCTCGAGGGCGGCTGCAGCGTGGGCCCTTCTGGGGTGTCAGCTGGGACAGCTCACGGAGCGCCTCTTGCTCCTGCTCTCGAGACTGCGACGTGAGGGTACTGGCCCAGCTCCGCAGGCGGGAGCGGCAGGGGTGCGGCGGGCGCGTGACGTCTCCCACAGGGCCGCACCCCTGCAAGGGCGTCCTTCACCGCGGAGCTTTCCAGCCTGCAGCGGTAGCCTCCTTCCCGCCCCTGGAGGTCGCCGTGGACACCGTGTGCAGAGGGTTCCGGATCTTCTGTGCGCCTGGGTGGACAGCTGTTAATCCGGACTCAGAGCGTCTGTGCCCGCCACCCCACAACGTCATCGTTGAGCCGGCCGCCACCATGTTTCCGTTCTGGTGCATTTCTGCCGCGGCCGCACGCAGACTTCCCTTAGATTCCCGCACAAACGCACACACACTCTGTGGCTGGTTGTCCGTAGACCCCTGGAAATCTTGCCATCACGTGGGGCAGCTAGATAGGCTCAGCTGGCTTTGTGGGGTCACAGGAGCCCCAGACGGGGCGACGTGACATTTTCAGGGTGCTGAGCCAGTCACACTGACCTACGGACACACCTACCCTGCCTGGTGGCTGTGTCCCCCAGGGCTCGCCTGCCCTGGGCCATGTGGTCACAGCAGAGCTGTGGGGTTGGGGTGCCAGGGTCTAGGCTGTCCGTTCCCCACACCCCGTCCGTCTTCAGTAGCAGGGTCGACATCCCTCTTTTGAGGTGGCTTTACTGTCCTCTGGCCATTAACTCGCCATCACAGGTAACCTGTCGGGTCCCCTTGGCCCGTGCCTGTCGCTGCCGACCACACCTTGCCATGTTTGTTCAGTCAGGGCTGTGCTTGGACTCGGCGTTGTCTTCGGACTCTGGACTTTACAGAAGGAAGTGAGACGGCAGTTTGGAGCCACGGTGGCCACCATGTTCTGCTGGGTGACGGCCACACAGTTCCATCTGATGTTCTACTGCACACGGACGCTCCCCAACGTGCTGGCCCTGCCTGTGGGTAGGTAGCCGCCGACCACGCCGGTCACTGGGCATGCCGGCCGGGGGCAGGGGCGTCCGTCTGGGCCGCGTCTGCCTGCGGACAGCTGGACCCCACTGGGCATCTCAGAAATGCCCTGGAGCGGGTGGGCCTGTGACGAGCAGCAGGGTCTCGTGCTGGATGGCGGTGCGGCTTCCAGCAAGAGGCGCAGGTGCACAGAGGAGGCTGCCTGGGAGGGTCCCTGGTGTGTGGACAGTGAGCGCTTGGCCGAGAGGAGCTGCCTGCAGGGGCATGGGACGGCCACACCCTGGGAGCCACGAGGAGACCGAGAGTCGGTGGGCGAGGGGCTGTGGATGGCTTGGGTCTGGGGGTCTGCGCCGATCTGAGCAGCGGAGCCTGTGGGATGTGGTGGAAGGGTGGCAGGCGGGGCGCCAGCAAGACATGGTGCATGCCCGGGAGGGAGGCCAGGCGAGGGTGGTGCTGGACGTGTGCTGCTGGGGCCTGGAGCAGCTAGGCGGCCCGTTGCGGGAACGCAGGCATCCGGGGTCTGGGTGCCGTCGGGCCTGCGCAGGTGGCCCCAGACTGCGTGATGGCGCAGGGCCATGGCTGGAACCCGCAGCCCCGTGTCAGCACATCTGGGTCTGAGCGACACTGCTGTCTTCTGGAGGGTTCCATGGGCTTTCGCAGTGAGGAAGGCGACCGGCCTGCCCTGGCCCCGGTGTCTTGCAGTCCTGCTGGCCATCACGGCCTGGCTACAGCTGAAGTGGACCCGCTTCATCCGGCTCTCAGCCTTCGCCATCCTCGTCTTCAGAGCCGAGCTGAGCCTGCTGCTGGGCCTCGCGCTGCTGCTGCTTCTCAGCTCCCGGAGGCTCTCTGTGGCGAAGGCCCTGCGCTGTGCCGTGCCGGCCGGGCTGCTCTGCTTAGGTGAGTGGGACTCGCCAGAGCCGTGCTCACGGGGTGCGCTGCTCTGCCTGTAGGAAGGTGAAGAGAGACTCCGGAGCGCGGCTTTTTACTAAGTGAAATCGCCTTAACTTCGAGCAGCGTGACGGAGTCTGAACGCGGCTCCCCGGCGGTTCCGCCCGAGCCGCCCCCAGGAGGCCCTCACCCCTGCGTGGGGTTCTGTCCCCAGGCTCTCCCCGGTGTCTGGGCCGGGACTGGTGGCCGGGCCCTGCGCCTGGCCGGCTGGGGGCACGGTGGTCCCAAGGTGTGCGCCGCTCCCCAGGAGGCCTGGTGCGTGGTGTCCGTGCCAGTGTGGCTGCCTCAAGGGACGCTGACCTGTGACCGGGAAGCCGGAGCCACTCGGGCGGCCGGTGCGCTCCTACGGGCTCCTCTGTCTCAGCAGGACTGACGGTGGCTGTGGACTCCTATTTTTGGCGCTATCTCGTGTGGCCGGAGGGAAAGGTGCTCTGGTACAACACGGTCCTAAACAAAAGTTCCAACTGGGGAGTATCCTTCGGGGTGTCCGTAGGTCAGGCCGCACAGGCGAGGCGGCGGGAGCTGCTTTCCTCCCTGTGGAAGCACCGCCTCACTTTTGGACGTGGAGTTTCTGCCTTAGCGTTCGGGGTCGTCTTAGGACCGCGTCAGGGTTGGTCGTGGAACCGTCCAGCATCCGCGCGAGCTCAGAGGAAAGTGTGATGAGTCCCCAGCGCACCCGCCTCGGGACGGGCCATCCTGTGGGCGACGGGGAGTCTGGGGGCTCTGGGAGCCACAGGCGGGAACCCCTGTCGGCCGTGCCGCCCCACTCCGCGCGGACGGGGGACTGGCTGGCGTGTGGCCTCCTTAACCCTCCCGCCCGAGACCTCCCCGCTGCTGTGGTATTTCTACTCGGCCCTGCCCCGCGGCCTGGGCTGCAGCCTGCTCTTCGTGCCCCTGGGCGCCGTGGACAGGCGGGCGCTGGCGCTGCTGCTGCCCGCGCTGGGCTTCGTGGCGCTGTACTCGCTGCTGCCGCACAAGGAGCTGCGGTTCGTCATCTACGCCTTCCCTCTGCTCAACGTGGTGGCCGCCAGGGGCTGTGCCTGCCTGTGAGTCCTCCCTCCCCCAGCCACGCGCTCGCTGGCACACGGGGACGCTGTGCAGCCGGACGGACGTGTCCGAGCGGGGAGGGCAGTGGGGTCGGGAGGGGCCGGCCTCCGCTTCATGTGAGGTCCGTCAGGCCTGTGTCCACTCGGCGGTGCGAACTGTCCAGGGCTCGGCCGCCCGGGGAGGGCACTTGGTGTGGCTGCGGGGCAGCTGGGCGGGTGGTCCCCAGGGCCTACTTCTCGGCTGGGGGCGGAGCTCGGGGGTCCGTCCCCGTGTGGAGAGTGTTTGTCTGGGCAGGGGATAGGCCAGAAGAAAGGGGAAAGGCAGGGGAGTGGGCTGGGGCTAGGAGACGGAGGTGTGGGATTACTGAGGGAGGGGCCGGCGCGGCACAGAACCAGCGGCCCCTGGAGAGGGTGCCTGGGGCATAGGGAGGGTGGTCCCACGGGGCTGCTGCTCTCCGCAACGGGGCTGTAGGGCTGCAGGGCTGTGGGGCTGAGGCGGGACGGTCTCTGCCGTCGCAGCATCTCTGTGAAACGCACTGCTCTCCTTCCAGGCTGAACAGTTACAGGAAGTCTTGGCTGTATAAGGTGGGGTCCGTCCTTGTGATAGGACACCTCTTGGTGAATGCCACATACTCGGCCATAGCCCTGTACGTGTCCCACTTCAACTATCCCGGTGGCGTGGCCATGTGGAAACTGCATGAGTTGGTGTCTCCCAGGACAGGTGGGCGCTCGGGTCTGTGCTGGGGTCTCCCTGGGACAGGTGGGCACTCGGGGCCATGCTTGGGGCCAGCTGCAGCTCTGGCCAGGGGCACGCAGCTCTCAGGTCTCACTGAGCATACGGGGTTTTCCGCAGATGTCGTTCTGCACATCGACGTGGCTGCCGCACAGACCGGTGTGTCCCGGTTTTTGGAGGTCAACAGTGGCTGGAGGTATGTTCCCACTGTGATATGACTGCAGACGAGGCGCTCCCCCAGGAGGCAGTGCATGGGCTCCCTGGGAGCACCTGGATGCTGGGAGCCAGCCTGGGGCCTCAGGTGTACAGCCACGCTCTGATCTTACAGGTATGACAAGAGGGAGGACGTGCGGCCTGGGTCAGGGCACATGCTGACCTACACGCACCTCCTCATGGAGGCCGCCCCTGCGCACCTGGCCCTCTACAGGGACACGCACCGGGTCCTGGCCGGCATCGCAGGCACCACTGGCGTGAGTCTGAACCTGACCACGCTGCCCCCGCTGGACGTGAACCTGCAGACAAAGCTGGTGCTTCTGGAGAGGCTCCGTGGGCTTTCCTGAGCAGGGGCCGGCGTTCTTCTGAGGACATCGGAGCTCCATCAGCGTCCCTGCAGAGGAGACCATACAAGAAACAGCAGAACCGCGGACGTGCCCTGGACGGAGGCCTGAGGGAAGAGGCCCAGCTCCTCCATGGCTGCCCAAGACCACATGCGGTCACAGCGGCAGGGACCGCAGGCCTTGCCCTGCACTTCGGCCGCTGCCCCTGGGCCTCTTGGAGCACCCGAGAAAGTGCCCCCTTGGAGGGGTATCCTGTGAGTCTTTGTGAAGATGGACAGTGGGAACCACAGTGCCTGCTGCCCCCTCCCCTGCCTGAGCTGCAGGACGAGGCCTTTGTGGGCACAGGCATGACATTTCCATCCCACACAAAACTGGGGAATTCAAAGAGGAACAAGAATAAAAATTTAGATGTTTCTTTATTAGACATCTCACGAGAAGTAACATTGCCAGAGACCCCCTTCACATAGGTTGTCTTAAGTGATAGTTTTTATATCTTTACGCTTTACTGAGTAAGAAGTATTTACAAGGTACCCGGAACGTATCCAACACCACCGGGCGCGGAGCACAGTGCGCAGAAATGAGTGTTATTGCACATGCGCACTTGGGCACGTGCGCTCACCACGCACACATGCCACGTATACTCCTGCCACGTATGTGCCGACACCACGTGCACACGCACCACATGCACTTGTGCCACACGTAGGCACCAGGCACCCCCACTGCTCATGTGCATAAAGGCTGCATTTTCTGAGTCGTTGGAGAGTGTTGCCTATGGCACGGCCTTGACCACACGTGCCCCAGCGTGTCCCAGGAAGGAGGCGATGGCATTTCCTACCTGTAGCTGCTGTGTCATCCACAGCACCGACGAGCAGCGTGTGTGCTGACTCGTCCACTGGGAGGACCTCCTCCAGCCTCTCCTGCCTTGGTGCCCACTGATGGTTGCACGGCGGCTGGCCTTGGCCGCACTCCCGCCTTCCAGCTGGTGCCCAACACTCCGCAAGCCAGCCCCGCCTTTCCCCTTTTATCTGTCATCAGTGTTTATTATCGATGTGTTATTGGCTCTTGTCACTCACGTATAACGCATCAGCATTCACATATTTGTCATCGGTTATCAGCATGCGTCTGTGGATTGCCGCTGGGCCTTAACCGTCTTGAGTCATACCCAACCACCGTGGTGTTCACGCTGCACCAAGTTCACACGGGCTGTGTGTTGTGACACACCCTGGCGTTGCTGTGTTTTGGAGTGCTTCCCTACTTCCTGGTACAAGGCTCTTAGGCCTCTCTGTCCCAGCCCCGAAATCAGCTGTGTGAGGGGCTCTGATTCCTTTGGTGGGGAATGGTTGTAGAGACCAAGGTCTGGGTGTGAAATGTGTACGTTGCTCTCAGGATGTCTGTTTTTAGGTCCTCTCTGTGGATGGAGCTGGGGAGGATGGGCATGCCCGCACACAGACCTGTGGACACATACGTGTGTGTGTGAGAAACCCCAGTGCCAGGCTGACCTTCCAGCTCCCCGGTCTCCGTGGGCTGCTTGTTCTGTATCTGCGCCCACCCTCCGCAGTGAGAGTCCCAACTCCAGCAATTTCCCTGTGTTTGCTTGTTGGCTTGGCTACACAACTGCAGGTTTGTAGGCAGATCCAGGGTCTTCAAATTCCTTGGAGGAGCCCTCCTGCTTCCGTGTGCTGGTTTTTCATTTGAAATGTAACCGGGTTCACATCTTTCTGATAGCATTCGGTCTCAGGATCTGACTCCCCACGCTCTCCCACGCTTCCAGAAATTGAACTGCTCGCAAAGGCACACTCAGGGACAGCACTCCCTCTGGGCCTCCTCCACGTTTTTATAACTAGTGTCACTGCTTTCTGGTTTATCCTTTCTTTTTGTAAAGATGAGCAGATACATGTAGACTTCATTCCCTTCCTTTCTATGTGCTCTTTTGCACCTTTTTTCTTCTCCCAGAAATCCCCCCTTCTACCCAGAGGCTTCTCGCACAGTACTCTGCTGTGTGAGTGTCTGCGGTTCACTCAGCCAGGCTCCTGTGTGTGGCACTGGGCTGTTGCCTGAACTTGACAACTTCACACCATGCTGCACGTGTGACCCCAGACGTGTATTTTCATGCTGTGTGAGTGAGGTGTGTCTTTATGGTGAGTTCCTACGAGCGGGAATGCGAGCTCTCGGGGAAACGTGTATCAGTTTAGCTGGGTATCACCGTGTCTCCCTTCCCAGGGCTGGCAGAGCGTTAACACTCACCCCTTGTGCTCTAATGGGGGAGCCGTGGGGTCTCTGTGGACTTCTCTTTATTCCTTCAGGAGTGAAGGTGAACCTCTTCATAGGATGAAGAATCATCTGGTTTTGTAAGTTGTCTGTTCACATATCTTTTCTGTCTTCCATTGGACTTGGGTCATTTCCCCCTCACTTTTTATAAAAACTCTTCACTTTTTGGGGTGTTTACCCTTTCCATCCAATATATGCTGCAAATAATTTCTCCTTGTCTTCTGACTGATTATGAAGCACTTTCCTGGGCACGAGTTTGCTCAGTTTCACATTTGCACACGTGTTTACTGCGCTTTTCTTGACCCACTTCCTATTTGGGAAGATTTTCCCACGCTCGGGCTCCGCCATGTTTTCTGTCAGTCACTTCTGCCTGTAGACTTCAGATCCATTTGAGGTCACTTCCGTTTGTGTGAGGGGTGGACCTTATTTTATCTTTCTCCACATGGCTGTCCGCCTACTGAAGGGCCATCATTGCCTCAGAGATTTGAAGTCACAAACAATATCCACATTTCAAGTTCGGTCAATTTTGAGAAAAGCCATTATAACTCTGTGCAGGCTTTTGTGAGGCTCTAAGATTCCAGCTCCTTTGTGTAAATAAGAGTACGTTTGGTTTTATAAGAAACCACCAAGCTGCCTTCCATGGTGGCTGCACCACTCTGTGTCCCGCCAGGCATGCTGAGAGCTCCTGCTGCTCCCCGTCCTCCCAGCACTCGGTGTTGTCGGTGTCCTGCCTCTGGGCTGTTCTGACAGACGTGCAGTGGCGTCTCGTTTTCATGGTGCATTTGCTGGGTGCACGTCGCTGTGTTTGCTAATATCTTTAAGACTCTTTTTCAATGGGATTTTTTCCCTACTGTTGCGTTTTAAGGGTTCTTGGTACATTGGGGATAACAGCCCTTTTTCAGAGGCATCTTTTGCATGTTTTGTCCTGCCCTGTGGGGTGTCTTATTCTCGTGACTTGGATCTTTCATAGAGCAGAGAATTTTAATTTTAACAAAGTCTAGCTATCAGTTCCCTCTTTTTGTGCTTTTGGTGTTGTATCTGAAAAGTCATCTCCAGGGGTGCCTGGGTGGCTCAGTGGGTTAAAGCCTCTGCCTTCGGCTCAGGTCATGATCTCAGGGTCCTGGGATCGAGCCCCGCATCGGGCTCTCTGCTTGGCAGGGAACCTACTTCCCCCTCTCTCTCTGCCTGCCTCTCTGCCTACTTGTGATCTCTGTCTGTCAAATAAATGAATAAATCTTTAAAAAAAAACAACTCATCTCCACACTCAAGGTCATCTAGATTTTCTCCTATGTTACTTTCTAGGGATTTTATAATTTGGATATACATTTAGACATGTGATCTATTTCATGTTAATGTTTATGAAGGGTGTAGGTCTGTGCCTAGGTTCTTTTTCTTTTTCTTTCTTTCTTTTTTTTTTTGCGAGTGAATGCCCAGTTTTTCCAGCCCCATTAGTTGAAGAGACCGTCTTTGCTCTATTGTGTTGCTTTTAGTCCTTTTTCAAAGATCAGTTAACTGGATTTATGGAGGTCTATTTCTAGGCTATTTTGTTCCATTGAGCTATTGAAATTTTCTTTTGCCAATACCACGTTGTCCTGATTAACGAGCTTTATAGTAAGTCTTGAAGTCAGGTAATGACAGTCTTGCAACTCTGTTCTGCTTCAGTGTTCTGTTGGCTATTTTGCTTGTCTGTATAAACTTCAAAATTGTTTTATCAATATCCACAAAATAACTTGCTGAGATTTGATCAAGATTGCATTGAATCCACAGATCAAGTTGGAAAGACCTGACATCTTGACGGTATTGAGTCTTCCATGAATATAGAATTCCTCCCCATTTATTTAATTCTTTGATTTTGCTCATCAGAATTTTGTTCTCTTCCTGGGGTGCCTGGGTGGCTCAGTGGGTTAAAGTCTCTGCCTTCAGCTTGGGTCATAGTCTCAGGGTCCTGGGATCAAGCCCTGCATCAGGCTCTCTGCTCAGTTGGGAGCCTGCTTCCTCCTCTCTCTCTCTCTCTCTCTCTCTCTCTCTCTGCCTACTTGTGATCTCTGTCAAATAAATAAATAAAATCTTAAAAACAAAAAAGAATTTTGTTCTTTTCCTTATAGAAGCCTTGTATATATTTTATTAAGACTTATGCCCTAAGGATACCTGCATGATTCAGTTGGTTAAGTGTCTGACTTCAGCTCAGGTCATGATTTCAGGGTCCCAGGATCGAGCCCTGCGTTGGGCTCCCTGCTCAGCAGGGAGCCTGCTTCTTCCTCTGCCGTTCCCCCTGCTTGTGCTCTCTCTCTCTCTCTCTCTAATAAATAAATAAAATCTTAAAAAATATATTTATGCCTAAATATTTAAGTTCTTTGAGTGATAATGTAATGATATGCTTTTAATTTCAAATTCCATTTGTTCATTGGTGGTATGTAGGAAAGAAATTGACTTTTGTATATTAACCGTGTCTCCTGCAACTTTACTATAATTGCTTAGTTCCTTATCAATTCTTCTTAAATCGGTTATTTTGTCCTTTCTACTTAGATGATCATGTGATCTGTGAATAAAGAGTTTTATTTTTTCTTTGCCAATCTGTGTACCTTTTATTTCCTTTTCTTGTCTTATTGCATTAGCTAGCATTTCCAGTTCAGTGTTGAAAAGGAGTGGTAAGAGAGGACATCCCCTCTATGCCCAGTTTACTGAGAGCTTTTATCATGAATCGGTGTTGGATTTTGTCAAATGCTTTTTCTCTATCATGATCATATGATTTTTCTTGTTTAGCCTGTTGATCTAATGGATTAAAGATTTTCAAATGTTGAACCAGTTTTGCATACCTGGGATAAATCCCATTTGGTCATGGTATATAATTCTTTTCATAAAATTGTTGGGTTTGATTTGCCTTTTTTTTTTTTTTTTTAAAGATTTCTGCATCTCTGTTCATGAGTGATTTTGGACTGTAGTGTCTTTGTCTGGTTTTGGTGTCAGGGAAATGCTGGCTTTGCAGAATAAAGTAGGAGGTATCCCATCTGTTTCTATCTACTGGAAGAGATTGCAGAGAATTGTTTAATTTCTTCTTAAATATTTGGTAGAATTCACCAGTAAACTGATCTGGACCTGGTGCTTTCTGTTTTAGAAAATTATTAATTGTTGATTCAATTTCTTCAATAGATACAGGCCTATTCACATTGTCTATTTTTTCTTGTGCGACTTTTGGCAGATGGTCTTTCAAGAAATTGGTCTGTTGTTATCTAGGTTATTGAGTCTGTGTGCATAGTTGTCCGTAGTATTCCTTTATTACCCTGTTAACATCCATGGATCTATAGTGATGTCTTCTCTTTCATTTCTGTTATTAGTAATCAGTGTCCTTTCTCTTTGTTTTCTTAGCCTGGCTGCAGGCTTATCAATTTCATTAATCCTTTCAAAAGAACCAGCTTTTGGTTTCATTGACTTTCTCCATGGATTTCCTGTTTCTGATTTCGTGAATTACGGCTCTGATTCTTATTATTTCTTCTGCTTACTTTGGACAGAATTTGTTCTACTTCTTCTATTTTCCTAGGTGGAAACTTAGGAGTATTTATTTTGGATCTTTCCTCTTTCTGATATATGCATCCAACACTAAATTTCCCTCTAAGCAGCACTTTCGCAGCAATTTTGATAACATGTTTTTATTTTCATTTAGTTCCAATTATTTTAAAATTTCTCTTGAGATTTCATCTTTTACCCATGCATTGTTTAGAAGTGTGTTGTTTAGGGGCACCCGAGTGGCTCATTTGGTTATGCATCTGACTCTTGATTTCAGCTCAGGTCATGATCTCAGGGACACGGGATTGAGCCTGCATTGGGATCTGAAATGGGTGTGGAGTCTGCTTGGGATTCTCTCTCCCCCTCTGCCTCTGCCCCCCCACCCCCACCCTGCTCACCTGTGTTGTGTGCGCACGCTCTCTCGAGAAGAATCAAAAAGTGTGCTGTTTAATCTCCCTGTATTTTGGGATATTCCAGTCGTCTTTCTGTTACTGATGTCTAGTTTAATTCCATCATGGTCTGAGAACAGATGTGGGATTTCTACTAGTTTATATTTTTTTGAGGTGTTTTATGGCCCAGAATGTGGTCCATCTTGGTGAATATTCATGTAAACTTGAGAAGAATGTGTGTTCTGTTGTTGGGTGAAGTCATCTACAGATGGCAGGTTTTTTTTTTTTTTTTAAAGATTTATTTATTACTTGTTAGCATGGCTTACTTTCCTCTATTCATTTACTTTTAATCCAGATGTGTCTTTATATTTAAAGTGGGTTTCAGGGCACCTGGGTGGCTCAGTTGGTTGGGCGGCTGCCTTCAGCTCGGGTCATGATCCTGGGATCGGGCTCCCAGCTCGGTGGAGAGCCTCCTTCTTTCTCTCCCCTCTGCTTGCTGCTTTGTCTCCTTGTGTTCTCTCTCTGTCTGTATCTCGCTCTTAAATAAATAAATACAATCTTAAAAAAAAAATAAAGTGGGTTTCTTGGGAGGCCTGGCTGGCTCAGTCAGTAGAGCATGCAACTCTTGATCTTGGAGTTGTGAGTTCAAGCCCCGTGTTGGGTGAAGGGATTATTTACATAAATAAAACTTAAAAAAAAAAAAAAAACCAAAAAAACAAAGTGGGTTTCTTGTAGGCAACAAGTTGTTGGGTCTTGTTTTTTGATCTCCTCTGTTAGTCTTTAACTGAGCATTTTCTATGATACCATTTTCTCTCCTTTTTGGCATATTTGTTCTACTTCATTTTTACTTTTTTTGGTAAGTGATTGCCCTAGAGTTTACAATACATATTTGCAGCTAATCCATGTGTATTTTCAAACGACACTACACCACTTCATGGGTAACATGAGCACCTTATAATTAAATAACCCTAATTCTTCCCTCCTGTACCTTGTGTCTTTGCTGGCACTCTCTTCTCTTTTATATGTGCTACGTAAGCATTAAGGTATGTATCTCGTATGAATGTAAGCAGACCTAATTCTACGTTGTTGATCTCATTATTTTGAACAAACTTAGCTGTTCGACTGAGAATAAAATGTTAACTTACTTCCTCAGAGGTCTTCCTTATTTTCTGTAGATCTGAGTTTCTGACCTATATTATTTTCCTTTTCTCTAATGAACTCCCCCTAACCTTCTTCCAAGCCTGTCTGCTGGCCACAAATTCCTTCAGTGTCTTTTTTCTTTCTTTCTTTTTTTAAAGATTTTATTTATTTATTTGACAGAGAGAGGCACATCGAGAGAGGGCACACAGCAGGGGGAGTGGGAGAGGGAGAAGCAGGCTCCCCGCCGAACAGGGAGCCCAATGGGGCTCGATCCCAGGACCCTGGGATCATGACCGGAGCCGAAGGCAGAGGCTTAAAGACTGAGCCACCCAGGCACCCCCCTCAGTGTCTTTCTGAGAAAATCTATTCCTCCTTCATCTTCACGAATGTTTTCACAGCATGTGGAGTCCTGCGTGGGATTTTTCTCTCCACACTTTAAGTATCTGGTCCATGTTCTTTGCACTTGCACGATTTCTGAAAAGTCAGATGTGGTTCTAATCTTCATTTCTTTACAGGTAAGGTCTCCTTCCGCCCAGCTTCTTCAGGACGCACAGTTTGCGTGTGATTTTCTGTAAACTGCAGACGAAATTTAAAGGTGTCAGGTGTGTTTTGCTTCTTTGCTTCCTGAGCCGGAGGCGTGTGTCGGGCGTTCGGCCGGGGACGTGCTCGGCTTTGCCGCGGGCGTCCCTTCTGCTCCTTCCCTTGCTTTCCCTCTTCCCACCGCACGGATGTCACTCCTCTTGCTGTTGGCCTGTAGTCTGGCTATTCTGTGCTGGTGTTTTCCGGTCTTTCTCCTTAATTTTCAGTTTTCAAAGACTCTTGTGACATACCCTCGAGCTCAGAGATGCTTTATTTTGCCACATTCCGTCCAGGAGGCCCGCAGATCGCAGCCTCCCCTCCGCCGCGGCGGCTGTTCTCTAGTGTCTGTCGCCGGCGGCCTGCGCCGAGGACCGGCCAGAGGGGGAAACGCGGAGCCTCTCGTGTTGGTCTGAGCGTGCCCGGGCACGGCTGGTCACACTGACCCTC